GAGGTGTGGGTATTCTCGGGGGCCTTTCTCCTGCAAGTCCCAGTGTGGTCTTCTACCATTGTGTGGAAATATGACGAGTGGTCACCTTGCATCCTGTGCTTTTGGGGTACACTTTTCAAGTTTCTGTGTTCAAACATTTTGAAAATCGGAAGTGATCACGTGTCCTGAGTTTCAGTTTGAAAGCCACAGTGTGCAATAGTCACTTCCCTCAGATTTCTACTGTGGAAAACAAAGCACGTAGCCCTCAAGGTCAGGGACAAAAGCAAAGGCCCCCACCCAGACCCTGACCACAGCTGAGGGCCACATACCTCTCCCTCCTGCTCAGACAGCCCTGGCTCCAACGTCCTTGAGACACCTCCACAGGTTCAAGACTGAGCAGGGAAGTGGACCCCCATAGGCCAGAGCGTGTAGAAGCCAATGCTGAGCAGAGTGTCCCCAGACCTCGAGGCAGAGACTACAGCAGGTGTTAGTGCTGCATCTTCAGGAAGCACCGGGGCCAGGGTAGCCAAACTAGAAGATGGTGGAAGAGAGAAATTCCTAGAGTGGGGCTGAGGGCCTTCCTCCAGGCAAACCCCTCCGTCCCCAGGGTGCAGCTGGCTCTGTTCTACAGGGCCAGTGACACTTATGACAAGCCCCTGCTGCCACCTCCCTCAGGAGAAGCCACCGGCTGTCCAAGGCCAAGACAGCATGGCACCCCTCCTGTCTCCCTGGGTTTCTGTGACTGCACAGCGGGCATCCTGCACTCTGAACCCCTGTGCTGGGGCAGGAGGCACTGCCAGGGTCCCAACAGGCCCTGTGCATCACAAGACCTGGGCCCCAGGTTCTGCTCCCTCGGGTGTTGGCTGAGGGTCCTCCTGCTTCAGATGCAGCCATGTCTGGGTCCCCCTCATGTTGGGCTGCAGAAGGGGTGGACAGCAGGGCAGGGAGGGGGGAACAGTTTACCCCCTGAACAACTCCTGCACCTCCAGATACTCAAAGAACAGCTTCTGAATCAAGTTTAAAAACAGCTGCTCTTCTGACGATTTAAGTGATGTCCTGAGTGTTTGCCTTGAGTGCACAGAGGGCCTGGGTGGGCTGGGACTTTGCCCAGGCAGGACCCTGGGAGACAAGGCTGCTGCACTCCCAGGAGGAGGTGTGCTTTGCCTCTCATCTCATGTGAGGAGAATCCAGGAGGTTGGCAATGTTGGCAGTGTCTGTAAATGTTTGCAACATCATGTGACAAGGCCAGTTCAGGTGTCTACAAACTGCTGTGGCCCGAGCCCCCTGTGATTGCCATGCAGAACCTCGTTAATCCTGCCACAGGTTGAGATGTGTCCTCTGTAAACCAACCAGACATACAACCTGGAGTTGTTTCTATCATCAGAAGATCATTTTAACTATAATCCATCAGGATACATTTTGAAAACTGGCCTCTGATGAAGGATTGGATGGTAATGCAGTGCCTGCTTTGATCTGGATAAAATTTAACTTGCCTTAATAATCTTTTTCAATTCCCATCAATGTTTCTCTGAGAATGTTCTGTCTACTGTGAGTGTTGTTGAAACATAAAACAGAATTCACTGAGGCTGACATTTCCCCCTCTGCTCAACTGGGCCAAGAAGCATCTCATTTGTTGCATTAAAAATATTAAAAATGGTTTCAATATGCATTTCCCTGATTGCCAGACATATTGAACATTTTTTAGTGTATTTGTTGGCCAATTATATTTCTTCTTTTCAGAAGTACCTGTTTAGTTCTTTCACCCACTTATTAATTGAGTTATTTGGATTTTTTTGGTGTCAAGTTTTTTGAGTTCATCTCACTCCCGTCAGAATGGCAATTTTGAAGAACACAAATGATAATAAATGCTGAGAAGGATATGGAGGGAAAGGCACGCTCATCCACTGTTGGTGGGACTGCAAATTAGTGCAACCACTCTGGAAAGCAGTATGCAGATTTCTCAAAAAAACTAGGAATGGAACCACCGGATGATCCAGCTATTCCATTCCTTGCCTTGGTATTGATCCAAAAGATCTCAAATCAGCACCCCTTAGGGCCGCAGCCACATCAATGTTTATAACAGCACAATTCACAACGTCCAGCTATGGAACCTACTGAGGTGCTCTTCAACAGGAAAACAATGGGGGGGTTACTTGGCCATAGAGAAGAATGAAATTATGGCATTTTGGGGGTAAATGGGTGGAACTGAAGACTATCATGCTAAGTGAAATAAGCCAGACTCAGAAATTCAAAGGTTGAAGGTTTTCTCTGATTTTCAGAGAAGCTACCAAACCCATGGGGGGGGTGGGGAGGGGGACAGAAAGAGAGACAAGGAAAGGGGGGTGGATTCCATCAAAGTAGAAGAAAGATCAATGAACTAGATGAAGAGGATTGAGGGGGAGGGAGAGGGGACGGGAGAAGGGAAGAACCGCAGAATCAATCTGACCTGACTGTCCTAAGTACATACAGGAATATCCCACAGTGAATCTCACCTCACGTACACCCACACCGACTATTAGATAAATGCAAAAACTAAAAGTAAATAGCAGAAAGCTCAGTAGAGCAAAGGTAAGGGAGCAGGGGGAGGGAAGGGGGAGGAACTGGGAGGGACCAAATTGGGACACCTTATATGCTTCTATAATGGTGTCAAAATGATTATATATATATATAATATAATGTTATGTGAAACTAAAAAACACCAAATATGTAAATAAACAAACAAATAAATAAATAACTACAATTATTAAGGATGGGGCTGTAGCTCAGTGGCAGAGCCTTGCCAAGCATGAGCAAGGCCCTTGGATTCAATCCCCAGCACCAGCGCACTACAACAATTAAGTACTGATACACAGTGCTTTTATTGTATTATATAAAAAAATCTAAACAAGCCTGAACTTCGGCATGGATTGTTTAAGAGCCACTGTCCCACATGGGATTCTCCAGGCAGGGAGGGAAAGTGCATGTCATCAGGTAGCCATCCTAAGAGGAAGGAGATAAAATGGCCCCTTGCAGCAAGAAAACCACGGTTGTGGTGGGTGATCAACCCTGCACAGTCTCCAGGGCAAACAAAAGCATTCATTTCCATTTTGGTTGAAACGAAAACTGACTTTCCCTCCCTGGCAGCTTGGTTGCCTGGCCAGGGGGCCCAGAGCCCCTGAGGAGGGGCTGCAAGATTCCCAGGAGGAGCTCAGTCTCAGGCCCCAAGGGCGCAGGTGGCAAAGTCCCTCCTGCCTCCCCCACCCCCCATCTCACCCTGCCCTCCTGGGTCCCTTCCCAGGTGAAAACCTGCCCAGCAGAGAAGCAGCAGCAACAGGGCAGGGGCAGGGGTCTCACCCAGCACCAGGCCCAGCCTGTGAGAATCTGCCAACTTGGGTCTCAGCGCACTTCTGCCACAAGAGAGACAGAGATGCTGCTGGCAAGAAGTGCAAAGTGGGTCCTCAGGCACAGGACTGGGGGGCTGTGTCCTCCTGTGTGTCAGCTGGCATCATCCCATGCGCTGCAGGGAGGGATGGGGGTGGGAAGCGCAGGTCACTGGGGCCTCCACATGAGTCTCCAGGACCTCAGAATCGGGGCTGGCAGGGCTTCCGAGATCCCAGTTCCTTGTGTCACATCTCAGAGTGAGCTGGTGCCGACAAGGTACACAGAGAGACGCGCCCCAGAGGACCTGGAGAAGACAGGCTCCCTGTGTAGATCAGGAAGGGGTTGGGGGTTAGGAACAGAGAGATTGTTGGAAATTTTCCAATTTATGCATTTTTGAAACTTCAGATTTTGTCCTTTTCCATTTGTAAATCCCCTCCTCATGCCTTCTGGGCCGCGTCTTTCTCTACTCCACTTCCATGTGACATGTGGTTCTGGTGGTTCACTGGGGACGCACAGGTCCCAGCTCAGAAATGGAAGTGAAGTCCCTGTGGCTCCCTGTGGTTCTTCAGCCTCCCCGGAAGCAAGCGGAGCGGTCTGCTTCCTGTGGCTTCTGTCCGCTGCAGGAAAGCGCCACTCGGAAGAGCACATCCCACCAAAGAAGGCTCTGGTGCCTGTGGCGTGGTCCCCTCAGTCACAGGAGGAGCGGGTCTCCCCCCACCCACAGTCATGCCCACCCCAGCACCTGGTCCACTTAAATTCTCTCGGGTGACAAGACAACACTGTGTTCAGCAAACCACAGCTCCCTGCTTCTAGGAAAGCTTCCCCAGAGGACAGGCTAGAGAAACTAGATCCCCACGCCCCACATGTCCACCTGCTCACACTCCCCTGCTGACACGCACATGCACACTCATGCATGCACTCGTGCCTGTGGTCACACCCATTCATGTGCATGTGTTCACACACACAGACTCCCTCGGGTGCACACGCTCACACCTGTAGATGAACACTGGTGCAGGTGCACACTCATATTCATGTGTGCACACTGAGGCATACTCAAACTCCACCACAGAGCAGTCACCTGTGCACAGCCATGCACACTCACACACACTCACACAGATGCAAGCACACACATTAACATGCTTGCCTGCACACAGTCACGTGTACACACATTCATACTGCTCTTCATGGACACATGAGCACACGCTGGTATATACATACATGTCCACACACCTGTGCACACCCATGCTCACTTGCATACTCACCTGTGTGCACACACTTGTGGTAATTGTTTAAAGGGAAGAGCAATCAGATCTTTTTTTTCTCTGATGACTGGACACAGTGCTTTCTACAGAATGTTGCACATGGGGCTTGTGTTTTCTGAGAGTCCCCCCAAAGGAAAATGCCCTGTGCCTCCTCTGTCATTTCAGGGTGTGACAGAGGGGTCAGGACCACAAAAATCATCAAGCTAGAGTGGAGCATGGGGACACTTGTTCCAGCAGCTGAAGTGAAACTCTACAGCACCAGCAACTGCACAGGTCAGACTTCACAGTACCTTAGAGATAATCCATTTGCATAGTGAACATGTCTCATCATTAGAGCAACTGCACAAAAAGTCACTCCAGGTCACTTCTCTGCCGTGCGCATGCTGAAGGCCTGAGTGTCTACTTCTCTGCCTCCTGCAGCTCCTTCAGCAGGGCTTGAAGGAGCCTGCGAAGCTTCCAGAACACGCTGGGGGCTGCTCTCCAGTTCCCAGTGGAGACTTCTAGGTCCGTGCATTCCTGTACAGCCCGCTGTAATTGCCACCGGAGCCGGAAGGAGACAGCAGAGCTCTTGAGAGTTGAGGAGAACCAGTGGCGAAATATTTTGTCACAGATTACCTGGGGAAAGAAGGGTGTGCAGTTAATTCAGGGCGGCAAGTCATCGTTCAAAGCTTCCCAAGTCCCCAGTTGGTTCTCCAGCGGACCTTGGCTCTGCTCCTTCAGGGAGGGCCCTGCAGAGGCCACTGGACTCTTGGGAGGTGGGGGGCTTTCCCTTCTGCAGCTGAGACCACTCTGCACCCAGAAAAGCCCCACCTCAGAGAGCGGGAGCCTGGCTCCCTGTGCAGAGGGAAATCCATCCCCAGCCTGGAGCAGCGGAGAGGTTCTGGGTGATGCTTCGTAGAGGACTGAACACATTTCCAAAGAGAAAGCGAGTAGAAGTCACCGACAGAGACAGTTCTTAGGAGTCAGTGGTTCTGTGGGTCTCAGCCAGCCGCCCTGCCCTGTCCCCACTCCACATGGGCTGTCCTGTCCACAAGTGGGACAGAGCAGCAATGATAACCACCCCAACGGGGCGTCCTGAGGGCCAGATGGAGCCCAGCGGAAGGCAGTACAGACATGTGCACCGTTCCACGCAGCCTCGGAGCCTGTGAAGAAGGAAGAGGCTACAGGCACTGGTATATTTAAAGGAGCCTTCAAATTGTTTTATTTTAGGAGCAGAAGGAAAAAATTAAGTTACTCTATAATGGTCTTTAATTCTAAAAGGCTATGAAATTCACTGATGCCCAAGAGATCTTGAAATTCTCAGTTCGAAGGTGATCTGCTTACAGCTTTCACAGTCCCTCCGTGGAGCCTGGCCTGGGCGCTGCACAGTTAACAGTGCTTTATCTCCCACATCACCCTTGGTGTTGGGGTCATTCAGCTATTTTGCTATTTCATAGAAGACAAGTAATTTAACTTTCATTTTCCAGACCCTATAAAGGCAAGGATTACTTTTTTAAAAAGACAACTTTATTTCTTTTTTGAATCAAGAACACATTTTCATGTGCAGACTTTAAAGCGTCCTGAAGAAAACACCATAATCTCAGTCTCCAACCAGCCCGAATTCTGGGCTCTCCGGAGAGGTGACTCCTATTCAAGCACTCTAGACAGAATCTAAGGCTGTAAACACATTGGCCCCATTTTCTTTTATGTTTGCACACATGCTACTCTGGAAAATATTGCAAGTTTGCATGCAGGGATTTGTTGGGAGTGTTCATGGGGACACATCTCTAGGGAACTGAGGAAGACCTACATAGTTGTCATTTATGGGGGCAAAGGGACTCAGCTTTGTATCTGTGCCCCCTTCTCCCACACTGACCAATTACTAGATGCTGCTGCCGGGAAGCAGGCACAACCCTGGAAAAGAAGTTCTGTGGATTTCCTGGTTGAGGGGTTGCATGATCTCTGGATAATTTTCCATCCATGCTCTACCCTTCTGGTCTGTGAGGAGAATTGCAAATATTTTTGCTTTGCTTATAGTTTTGGTGTGGCTTCTTTGCCCGTGGGGATTTTTTTTAAAGATAGCTAAATTTGTGCACTGTTCTTCCTTTGGCTTCTAAGCTGTGCTCTATACTTACAAAGGCTTTCCCTGCACTAGAATAATATTTACATTCTCCAAGTATTTTCCTTCCTGGTACTTTAAGGATTTCACTTTTTACAAGTAAGTATTTGGACCATCTGGAATTTAGTTCGGCATAAGGAATGAAACACGGAGTTAACTGGACCACTTGTTGGGCTGCCACTTTACCAGTCATTACATAACCCAGCTCCCACATGGGGCAGCACCCCCTTCACCACACACTAAATGCCCACTTATCAGTAAGCCTATTTGTGAACATTTTTATTCTTTTCCATTTATTTGTCAATCAATTTATGCATGGCTAGAATTTTTGTGTGAAATTTAAGTTAGAAAAGTAGAAAAATTGCAAAATAAAGAAAAACTATAATCCTACCATTCAGAAATAATTCTTTTTGACAGCTTGGTATCTATCTTTTCAATCATATCCTATTTTGCAAAATATCCTATTCATAGTTTAAATATTGATTTGTAGTCTCTATTTTTTTTTAACTTAACACTTCAATTATCTCATATCCTTAAAGAATGTGTAATCTCACTTCTAGGACTTTATTCTAAAGCAATCATCGGGTTTATGGACAAATGGAATTGCTTAATATAGACATTTCCAACACACAACTCTCCAGAGAGATATAGTTTATGATCTACAACAATATAGACATTTATCTCTTTCCCTGAAGCTTCAACTGTTAATGAATAGTATTTTAATGACTATTCCCAATTGACAAAATAAATTTATTATCATCAGATTTCAATATGCACGTCTTTGGTGAGATGAAATTATTTTCCATTTCTTTGGCTCTTTGGATATGGGCATTCAAATGTCTGGTATCTGCTCTTTCTCGCTGACTTCTTTGGTTCCTTGTGCCCCCTGATGAATCAGAAGGGACAGAAGCTTGGGCTCCTTATGCTGCGTAGAGAAGCCGTGTTCCCGTGCTGTGGACGGGGTGACTGGGGTGATGCTACAGTGAAGACCACCCCACTCCCCCAGCTGGATGCACCAGGTGTGGGTGCCACATTAAAGAAGACAGGGCGGCAGGCCTCCAGGTCACATCGTTGCTGGGCCTCCTTCAGGAGGAAGCCCAGGGCAGTTCTGGAATTCCACCCCAAAGTTTGGGTCACTCTGGGACAGAACCAGGGCCAAAGACCACCAGATTAACAGCACGACTGTCCACGTCTCCCCAACCCATCCCATCCTGGGATGACGGCCCTGCACTGTGCTCCCCTGGCGGCTCTGATTCAGTGGTGAGGCGGTCCCGACACTGCCTTCTTGCAGAGGCCTCAGACCTGTGGGCCCCCATTCACCCTCATCCACCTAAGCACCTCAGTGAGGGCTGGAAGGGACTACCAAAAGGAGAGATGATGTCCCACTGATGGGGTACTCAACCCTGGATGTGGGGTCTCCCACCTTGAGACCCAGTTCAGCTGTCTGAAGCCCAATTAACTCCTACTTACTGCTGACCTGGACTCGGCTTCCTCCCACCCCACCCCTGCAACCTCTGTTGTCCCGAGCCTATCCTGTGGCACTGCATTGTCTGTCCATCCTGAGGCCTGCTTTGCACTCTTATCAGTCTCGTCCTTGACAGATTGGTCTCTGGGTTCTCATTCTTGGTGTGTGTGTGTGTGTGTGTGTGTGTGCGCGCGCGCTGTGTGAGGGGTTATGTCGACGAAGACACTGGACCCAGAGAACAGGTCTCCAAGCCCAAGGCTCAGGTGGAGCTTCAAGGAAGAGGAAGCCCAGCAGGTGGCTTTGCTGGGACCTCCATCCATCAGATCTCAGTGGTCGTTTGCCCACCCTCCCCATGGGGTAGACAGTAACCCCCCCCTGCCCGGCCCTTGCTGAATACCTGGGGTGAGCAAGAGAGACTGGCAGGCCCACCTTCAGCTCCACGGAAGGGATCTGTGGCGCCAGAGGGTAGAGGCCACCAGAGGGACTGATGGCATCCCAGCCCCCAGCAGCCCACTCACCTGCAGGTTGCTGTTGACACGTTGAGCTCCACATTTGTTCACATGCAAATCACATTTTGAAAAACAGTCAAAGAAATTGCAGTCTTCATCTCCTGTGCAATTCTGCTCAAGAATCTCCCTCATTTTAGGTTCAAAAAAGGCCATGTCCACATCAATAGCCACGACCTGCAATCAAAACAGCACGGAGCCATCAGAGGTCACCCCACCTCGCGGTAGGAGCCTGTCCAGGCTCCTCCTTCTAGCCTCTTTGACCTCATTCAGAGCCCGGCCAGGACCTGGAGTGGCTGTCCCACACCAGGAGTTTACAACTCTTCACATGGATTATATTGCAAAGCTTCAACTGCAGAAAGAAACTTTGCCGTCACTGGTTAAAGCCGAGGATTTGGAGCCATAACTACAAGTATCACTTTTCATCTTTGAACATTTTCTCTGCTTCAAAAGTAGAATCTCTGAAATGGCTTAAAAATGAATTTATTTCTATTACTTTATCAGCTTTGGTCTCTGACCTTTGTCATCCTAAATAACAAAAACAACCAGAGATTCTCCGAAGAACACTGGCATCTATTTAGGAAGAGTTAGCGTGGGAATAGCAGAGCCTCGTGGTGGGAGCAGGATGGCAGCAAACTTCTGCCATATTCAGGGCTGAGGCCTGGGGAAGACTTTTAAGGCAACAACGAGGATTACTTAAGATGTTTGAAACAATATGCTGGGTCACAATGACTAATAACAATCATGGCATCAGTCTGAGGTTGACAGACAGTTGCTGGGCAGATGTCTTGTAGAAGAGCCTTATATGTAAGGCTGCGGTGGCCTCTGTGAAAGGCTGTGTTTTTTGACAGCCTCCTTTGGTGGTTACTGTCAGGGAGTCATGCATAGCAACCCTTCCTCCACAATCTCTGGCTTTATTTATTTTGGTGCTTTGGTTAGGGTTGACATGAGCAACTCCATTTAGATTTGACAATCCCCGCATATCTTTTACACTTTCGAGATGGGGATTTTTATCTGCGTTTTATGGCACCTTTGCTACCCACATCAATGAATTTCCAACCAACCAGTCTGAGGAAATGTGAGGGAAAGGACAAAGTGCTCAAATTAGGAGAGACACATATGGATCCTGACTCAACAGGATCAACAGGAGGGACCCACTTCCAAGTCCCACTGTGAGCCTGAGAACCTCACAAGCCCCTGGAATTTCGGATTTATCATCCTGGCTTCAAACCAAATAGTCTTCAAAAAAAAGAAAAAGAATAACTTCTAAATTATGCAGATTTTCCTGCACCACCTGGATATAACAACAAAAAAAAAGATGAGCTTGAATCTGAGAAAACCTGGAGTCTGCCCAAGTCATGCAGCTTATAGCTCCCAGGTATCAAAAAGCTATTAGGAAGCTTGATGAATCTGATGGCATTGTGGCATTTCACAAGCCTTCACAGGTCAATGTCAGTCAGCCCCTGGGAGAGAGCTGGCTTGCTGGTGTTCGTTTCCTCCAGCTTCACGCAGCCACGGGAGGCACAGGCCCTGGTGCTTGCCTATTTATTTATTTATTTATTTATTATCTTTGTTTTTCACTTAAGATTGATGCTGGAAGGCAAGAAGTTTTCTTGGGAATTATTTAGTAAAACAGAGCAGGAGGGAACATAATTTGTTTCAAAATATGTGCAGAATCATGAAAATAAAGAGCAGAGAACTTTTCCCTATCTGAGGGCTTTGCCTAATAACTAATTCAGGCACAGCAAACAGAATTTATCATTTTAATCAATCTTTCTTATCTCATTATTCAGCCAAAATAAATGGCTAATTTCATTATTTAGCCTGGTTAATATACTAAAAATGGATGAGGGCTGTGCTAATGAATCTGTCATCTTTGTAACTTATCACCAGAGCGAGCACCTCTTCCCGGAGTTTCTGGCAGCCTCCCCAGCTCCTCCTGGGCTCCAAGGTGGAATTCCAGCTCTTGGCTCCTTCTCGCTCCTGTTTCTGGTGGTTTCTGGGTTTTCATCCCAGAGAGAGCCAGGTTTACCTCTTAATTTATATTGTGCACCCAGGATGAATTACAGCTCTTGAAAGCACGACCCTACACACCTAAAATAAGAACAGTAACCACACAAACACAAAAACCTGTGTGATGTTCTTAACATCAAGAGAACCGTGGAGCCCTTCCTGCATGAAATTACTGAAGGTGCATTACCGTCTTCAGATTTCCTCGGGCATCAGAATAGAAAGATCAGTGAGAATGATTTCATTCTCCGCTGCATGGAATTGTTTCATAGTCTATTCTCCATTTTTCATTCTCTAGAGCAGGAAGACATCGTTTGCTCAAAAGGTGCACTTGCCTGCCACAGTCTGGGTCACCAAGCCCTGACCTAGTTGTTCATTTGCAACCACTGGATCAATTCTCCATACCTGCAGGGGGTTGGGCCTGCAGGTGGGGGGAGACTTGGAATCCTGGATTCTTGGCACCCCTCCCACCACAGGGCAGCAGGGCAGCTGGGGCTCAAGGCAGGAGCCACCACTGGGATCTAGAGCACCCAGCTCTCAAACTTGAGCACAGCCAGAACCAGCTGGAAGGAGGTGTTCCCACAACACAGGCTGCTGAGTCCCACCCCAGAGTTTAAGATCCGGCCTGTGTGGATTCAGTAGGGTGGAGTCTGAGAATTTGAATTTCTAAAAAAGTTCTTAGGTGACATGGGGTCTGCTGGTTTTCACTTAGACAAAATCCAGGTAAAACAGCTGACTTGCAGTTCAGTGTCTCAAGGAGGGTCAAGATTCGTGGGCTTGTGAAGGGATTTACCCTTTCCCTCCCCTCCCCACCCCACCTGCACCAGAGCCAGCGCAGAGGGACGGCTCTGGGGAACGCAGTCAGGGATGGTGAGGAGCAGGTCAGGATTTCACTGAGCAGAGCTCTCAGGACCACCATGTGCAAGACACCAGAGGCACAATTTAGGCGGCTGCACGAACCAGGAACTGGGGCTTTAGCACACAGACCCATAAACACCCAGGGCGCCCTCTCACACGGAGGACCCCCAGCCCCAGCCCCTCCATGAAGCCGGGTTCCTCCCAGGTCCCTGGAGCCCGCGGCGCCCACAGTTCCACTCACTGACACTCAGGCACACTTGCTGGATGAGTCGTGGGAACTGGCCCCTGCGAGGCAGCGGGGAGCCCAGAGCACTGGGGAGGGGCGGGGTGCACTGAGGGCCTCCGGAGCTCTCTGCCCTGGAGGCTCCCAGAGCCTTCTGGAACCTGCCGGAACCTTCCAGCTCAGTCCCTTTCACACCTGAAGCCATCCCCTGCTTGTTGCCGCCCCCCCCCCCAGGGCAGTGAGAACAGGGCATTAGGACAATCCTGCGAGGTCAGATGCTCCAGTGCCCTTCGGGGACAAGTCCCTCAGGTAGACCAGGGAGTTGTGCTGCAGGCAGGTTCTGTTTTCCAGATGCTAGCTGCTTTAAGAAGGCTATGTCACTCCTGTGCCACCTGCCCTCAAAGTCACGGCCAGCAGCAGTGGCACCTCCTCTTTGTCCCTTTATGTCCTGACCAGGATAAGAGCCTTACTCCATCATGAGCCAGTCCACGGTAGCCCGCTCACCGTGGTGATGGCTGCCAGTGTGTGCAGCGTAGGAACACCAACTTGTACAGGAGCAGGGACCAGAGCACAGCTCCCCAACACCTATTTAATGCCACCACATCACAGGCAGTCTTGTCACCACTTCCTGTTGAGTGACCAAGTACCCTCAGGGCAGACAATGAGGCCAGTGTTAGGGGAAGCAGCTACCCTGACACATTGTGTGGGCCCAGTGGGGGGACAGGGGTATCTCGTAATAGAGCACTGAGTCCCTCTGGCCCCTTCTCTGCCTCCTGGGTCCTGCAGCTGCCCAGCACTTGACCCAGGCACCAGACACCTCCTGCCCTGCTGGCAGTCTTAAACACAAACTGGAAACTAATAGAACCTCTCCAGAAGAGAAGTACTGACAGGTCACACGCTGCTGCAGCACATGGCAGTTTGGGCACCGTGTGCCTAGGCCAGGCCACTGGGTGAGTGGGCCAGGCCACTGTGCACACAGCCACATGGCCCTCTGCAGCTCCTCCTCCGCAGGAGGGCTGGCCTAGGTCCTCTCCTTCCCCCAGACCCGCAGACCCGCAGTGCAGCTCACTCCACAAACACCCTCCCCGGGCCCACTCACTGTGAAGTCACTCCTGATGGCAAAGTTTTCGGGCTTGACGTCACAGAGGTGAAGACGGTGGGAGAAGTCATGGTCGAAATGGCTCACCATGTCCAGGAAGCTGAGCGCGATGTGGCTGATGGCCTGCGCCTGGGCCTGGCCGCCCCGGGGAGCAGCCTGGCCCAGAGGGAAGAGAGCACTGTGCTGGGGGCTGCCGGCAGCCAGGTACTCCACCGCGTAGAAGTGGCCACAGGAGCCCAGCACAGGCAGGACATGGCGACTCAGGCCCTGCAGCAGGCTGAGGTGCACGTACTCCTCCTGCTGGAGCAGGGACCACGCGCTGGCCAGCTGCCGCCGCCAGCCTGGACCCCAGCGGCCAGGCCACAGGGGCCCCATGCTGCTGTTGGGCAGCTCCAGGCCCAGGGCGTTCTTGACTTCCCCGGCCAGCACCAGGAGGAGCTCCGCCTCTGGGACCCCCTGGCCCCTCTGCCCAGCCTCCTCCTCCTGCAGCATGCCGAGCGGCGGGAAGCTGGAGAAGGCCTCCCTCTTGGACTTGAGCACCACGGGCCTCCCCCGCCACTGGGCCTGCAGCACCTTCTTGCCACGCTCGTAGTACAGGCAGCGCTGGTACAGCAGCTCCCCAGCCACGCACAGGTCCTCGCAGAGGTCGCCCACCAGCCAGCCGCCCCGGTAGTCCTGGCACTGGAAGGAAAGGAAGAGTGGGTCACCACAGGGTCGGGGCAGGGGAAGTACAGGCTGGTCCTCACTCAGGGGCTCCTGATCCAGCTGTGGAGAGAAGCCCCCAGAGGTGAACCACAGGCCACTTGGGTGGATTCCAACAGATGGCCTCTGCATCCGTGGGTTCTGTGGCCAACCACCCATCAAAAATATTTCTTTACATCTACATCTGTACTGAACATGTGCAGATCTTTTTCTTGTCATTAATTCCTAAACAGCAGAATATATTGTTCACGTGGTGTTTGCATGGCTCTAGGGAGCATAAGTGACCTAGAGATGATCTGGGGCACACAGAGGATGTGGGTGGATTACGAGCAAATACTTCACCACTTTATATAAAGAACTGCAGCACCCCCAGGTTGGGTTTTGTATCCATGGGAGTCTTGGAAACAGCCCCCCGTGGATCCCCAGGACAACTCATTCTGTGAGGGAAGAGAATCTCATCGTGGTTACATCATTCAGTCGGGCAAAGGACCAGTCTTTAAACAGGACGTCTGGAGGCCAGAAGCTGTCTTCTGTGGCCCAGCTGCTTGGGAAAACCGAGTCAGGCCAGCGGATCTCAACTCCAGTTGCATGTGAAGCTCCCCCACGGAGCACTAGACACTCCCACCCAAGAGCCATTAAACCAGATGGGCACCAGGTCCTCGCCTGCTCCCAGGGCCAACCACGGCACTGCCCGTTGCAGCAGGGACACACCTTGAGCTTGTTGCTCTCAACATGAACTGACGTGGCCTACGAGGCTAGCAGCTCTAGGACTGCGGATGCTTAGAGGAGAAAACCAGGAGGACGCAGGAGTTAGAAGAGGTCTTGTGGCTGGTGGGCTGGAGGAATGGCCCCTCTGGGTCACATGCTGGGTGCGTAGGGAGTACTGAGTTCCAGCAGTGCTGAGGAAGCCCACCCAGCACCCTCGGATGGGGACTTTAAGGTAGTGCCAATGGGGGACCCAACACATCCTTACCCATCACACCACAAATTCCCTAAGAGGACTGTCCAGCCAAACAATCCTGGGAGAAAAAGGAAAGAAGAAAGGGATACAGAGCGGAAAGAAAGAGAGGATTGTGATTCTTTCCTTTTCATCTTTTTCAGGAAATGTAAATCTGCAGACCCATTTTTATTACAGGTTGAGCATATTTTCTAATCCCACCTGTTTCTCCCACACAGGAATCTGCCTCCCACACCAGCAAATATAGCCTCTCTTCCCCAGAACTTCTACAGCACATGACCAGTCGCCTTCTTCCCTACAAGGTCATAAAACAAGTATAAAATCCTAAAGTGATTTTCCACCCCACGTTGTTGGTTATAAAGCATCTTGAAGGACCAGCTGTGGACACTGTGTAGCATGGAGCACAGGACAAAGCACTGGCCCAAGAGCTGGAAACCTGGCTCCTTCCCAGCTTTGCTGCTATGCCCTGAGCACATCGCCTTGCTGTATCACAGGGCCCTGCCTCCCGGCACAGGTCGGACAGCAAGTGCAGAGCGGGTGTGGCAGTTACAGAGTATGGGCAGATAGAGGCCAGGAGATGGCCTTCCAGCAGCACTTGCAGCTAAGTGTCTATTTAACTACTTTCCAAAGACTAACTGGCTGTCTCCTGTTAGCTTTATTAACCTCAAGTAGATTATGAGATGCTCCTTGAAGTTGAAAAATGAACTTCCAGTGCCTGGACACATACATAGTTCCAAAATCAAACAATTGCAAACTACACGTTTTCCTGACTCATTTGGCCTCATGTAGTATCCAAATCAGACTGAAAAAAAAAATGAGAGGCTATTTATAGTCTGCATGTATTTGATTCAGTGTGAATCTGCATATATTTTGCTGCAAGATTATTAATTTGATCACTGGTGCTTCCCATATGCAAAATAAAATGCATGTGTGCTATATTATCTCCCTAATACCCAAAAAGGTTTGAATTCCAAAACACACCTGGCCCCAAAGTGTTAGATAATGTATCACCGTTGTTCAAACCACATAGTAACAAGTAATACTCCCCAGTGCTTGTAAGCACTGAATTTCCAGCACTGTTGGGTCACTCCCCCAGCAATAGCCCAGAGCACAGACACCTGGCTTCCTACTGAGAGTCCCCTGCCAGCTGTGATGCTCTACATCTCTGCATACCCTAAAGGACAGGGCACATTTGCCAAAGACAATGTGACAAGGGATAGTGCTCTCCAGCAGAGAGCCACAGCCAGACCCTCCAGCCAGTGAAGGAGGCCCATCACCTATGGCTGGAACTTCGTCTTTGACACCCACGAGGAAGCTGTGCTAATACACACACCCAGAAAAACGGTTCTAAACACCCTTGAAATCATATGCATTCTTCTTGGAATGTTGCAAAATCTTGTAAAATGCCTGTCTTTAACGTTGGTACCTCTTTCTAAAGCAACTTGTCATGAAATGAGCATGGAAAGGATGAGACCCTTGGTGTCAGCCACGTTACCTATAATTGCTTCCATATTGTCCTTGTGAGAAACCACGCACCCCAGAGACCACAGCACAGCCTGGGGAGGAGGTGGGAACCTAAGAAGATGGGAACCACAGACACTGGGCAGGCTATTGATTTTACTTGTGTTTTCTTTTTTCCTACTTCATCTGGTGTTTTCAGTATAATAAACAATTTCAAATTTCCTTTTAAATAAGAAACCAAAAAAAAAAAAAAAAAAGGCTGGGCATGGTGGCACACGCCTGGGATCCCATGACTAAGGCAGGGGGATCACAAGTGCCAGGTCAGCCCCAGCACCTTAGCAAGGCCCTAAGCAACTTAGTGAGACTCTGCCTCAAAATAAAAATGAAAAGGGGCTGGGGACGTGGCTCAGTGACTAAGTGCCCCTGGGTTCAATCCCCAGCACCAAAAACAAATAAAGGATGATATCCAAACATGGTTTGATTCAATTTCATAAACATTTTTCCAGCGTTCCTACATTGATAATTTGGCCAAAGGTGCTTTTGTGTGAAGTACGGAACAGAATTGAAAAGACAGGAAAGTGGGCAGCAGAAGCCCAGTGGGGGCAGCCGGGAGAGGTGACCCGTGCTGGGAGGAGGGGAGGGAAAGCCTAGGAGGCTGGCAGCTGACCACCAGGACCCTCACGCTTCTCATCTGAGCTGCAGCCACCTTTGCCATGAGCCATGAATGAGAAGCCAGCTGGATACTGATAGAATTGGGAAAGGCCGCGGGCTTTCAGCCCCACCTTGCCACCTGCAAACCACCAACACCAGCTTCCAAAGTTAACCAGCTGAGGGTGAGCATTCAAGGGTCATCCTCCACCTGCAGCCACCTGTCAGCTCACAGCACAGAAGTGACTGCCCTGGATGCTCTTGAACGGCACTAAAAGGTGAAGTGTCCAAGACGGTGAGGCTTAGCTCTAGGGCAGGCTGGGTTGGCCCCCAGAGTTCCCCGCACAGACTATGTGCTGGTTTGTATGCCATGCAATGAGGACGACTGTGTTGTGTCCCAGGAAGCCTGACAGGCCAAACAAGGTGAAGACGCACATTCCTCAGGACAGTGGCCTCAGCCATGAGAGCTCCCTTTCCACCCTCCCACCCCTGGCTATGAAAGGTGGGGTCAGGAGGCTCCTTCCTGGAGGAGATGCATCTGAGCTTAATTTGAACAGACAAAGCAGAACTCTGCCCAGAGACAATGAGGGTGAACGTAGATCAGGCCCAAGAAACAGGATGCAGAGGCCCAGTCCAAGCTTCAAAGTAGCACCTAGTGTTCAGAGAACCAGAAGGAACCAGCAGAGGAGAGAGCCAACTTAAAGATGTGCACTCAGACTTTGCCCCGTGAACTCAGAAGGCAATGCCAGCAGGAGCAGCTGGACATTTGAGCAGTGGTTTGACCACTGGTTTTGGCATCAGCCGTGGGTTTTTAAGAGGAACATTAATCTTGGCTGCTTTTCTGGAGGTCAGCACATTGGCTTATCAGTGCAGGGCCCACAGGGCTGGCTCCTTGCTGGAATACAGAGTATCAGAAAGGGCAGGAAGTGGAGGTGGGTGACCAAAGCCTGGCCTGGCCCTGCCAGTTACCACAGTGAGACCCTGGGTTTCTGACCTAACTTTTCAGTGCCCCAGTTACCTTGTTTGCCATGATAGATCATTTACATTAAAACACAGACACACACAGTTTTCACAGAGCTGCTGTTTGCCATTATCCTTTATGATGCATTTTGGTATCTTGGTTTTGCCCTTCTTATACAGACTGTGAGGCTGTGGCTGGTTACCAGCGCTACAGTAAGTGCTTAAGGTCTCTTGGCATGCCTGTGCCCGCTGGCCACAATTAAAGCTTCATCCAGCAATTTAAAAGACAGTAAGTTTAACACACAAATAGCAAGTTTGAAAGGGAAAGCTCTCATCATGTGAGAGACAAGAGTTGGATTAGCTCATTAGCATCATATCCTGTTGAATTAGAAATTTTTTAACTCATTTAAAGTGGTTTGTTCAGGGCTACTTAAGTGGTAATACACTTGCCTAGCATGCCCAAGGCCTTGGGCTTTATCCACATCACACCCCCCCACACACACACACACATAGGGGTTTACTTATTTTTAAAGTCAGACTTTATCAGACATTTTTCTGCTGATGGGGAGCTCCTAACTGCCAGCTTGAAAACAGGTACCTTTCTGTAACCAAATTTGTGCATACAAAATCCACAGGTGTCATATTTTTAAATAAATCGAGGGGGAAAAGGCCTCGTTGTCTCTAGCTCTGGCATTATTTGAGTTAATGAAGTTCACAGAGGATTTGTGTTTCTCATGGACATGTACAAACACACAAATGCCCATTTCCGTGGAGTAGCCCCAGCTCCTGTTGGAAGTGTTCTTTGTGGTTGTTGCTTAGTGTCTCTGCATTTTGTATCATGGTTCTCAGGCAAAAACAAAACCTGTCCACTCTAATCTAGGAAACGACTAACAGGCTCTCAGAGGTCATACTGAAGGGTTGTTTTCTTTTATGTGCTTGGTTTTGTAAGAAGCATTCAGTTCCGGTGTGGTTAGCCACATTCATTTTTCATGAGGGTATTGCTTCTTCAAGCCACTACGATGTGCATTGCACAGTCTCAGCCGATAGCTGGTCCACTGTGCAATCCCTCTCCATATTAAAAACATGGCCAAGCACTCAAGGAAAGAGCCAGTTGCTGCTATGAAATCTTCCTGGGTATGGGTCCTGGCTTCTGGGTCCCATGGGGGCCACCAAGAAAGATAAGCCTGCCCTGTTAAAAACGAATCCCTAACAAAGGCACAAAATTAAATCCCATCAAAAACTAACCAGCCACAAGGCAGTTAAGCCTCCTGATAACAAGTCTCTGGGGATAGTTTTGAAGTGCTTTGAAAATGACATCCTATGGAAAAGCTGAGTATCCGCTAAGTAACAGCTTAGGGTTTTTTCTGTTGTTGTCTTGGATTTTTGGGTATCAGAGATTGAACTCAGGGACACTCGACGACTGAGCCAAACCCCCAGCCCTGTTTTGTATTTTATTTAGAGACAGGGTCTCACTGAGTTGCTCAGTGCCTCACTTTTGCTGAGGTTGGCTTTGAACTTTGGATCCTCCTGCCTCAGGCTCCCAAGCCACTGGGATTACAGGTGTGTGCCACCACGCCCAGCACAGTTTAGGGTTTAATCACAGGAGAAGCCACGCACTGTCTCAGGGTTTCTACTGTGAGACTGCACAGGGTCACACCCTGGCTCCTCAACACAGTGGTAAAGAAGGACAAAGTTACTTTACCTCCCTGCAGCTCTGTTTTGCCCTCTGAAAAAGGGGGCTACTACAAAGCAAATACCTAATAAAGGCTGCTGAGATGATTAAAAATGAAATGATACATGCACAAATCCTCTGCACAGTGCCTGCCATAGAGGACATCCGCAGCGCCGGCAGCAGGCATCTTCAGGCCCTGAGGAAGTGCTCTGCCTGCAGCAGCAGCCAGGCACCAAACTGAGCAAGCAGAGCCAAATTCCCCTCAGCCTGGCTGAGCTTCCCTGTGCACCTGGACTAGGTATGTGCTGAAAAGCCGCAGAAAGAGGAGCACTTAGTGTGACTGAGAAAATCCAAAGCTCCAAGACCCAGGCTGTGAATCCTTTCAAACAACTCAAGTTGGCTCTTCTAGGGACTCCTGTCCCCAGAGTGTGGTGCTCCCCCAGGAGGCAGGCTGGGGGCATGGGGGAGCCTAGAGATCTCCGACCCCATCCCCTAACTTCATCATCTGGTGGCAGTATCTGCAGGCAGCTTCTCCTAGGCCAGCAATGCCACCTGCCCTGCTGGGCCTGGGAACAGGAGTCGGGGATTCACTACCACTCCTGGCTCTGCCAGAGGCTCCCTTTGGCTTGGCTGGCAAAGTTGATTCTTCTGTGCTCCGGTACTCAGAGTGAAAGCTAATGAGAGTCTGGAGGCCAATCAGGAAAATAACAACTCGTTTTATTATGTAGGATGAAAGCCAGGCAGAGTGAAAAGTGCCCGGGGAGCCGGGACACAGAGGCTCGATTCAGCTGGAGTCCTCAGAAGCCACAATGCCACCCTCTGCTTGGCAGCCCAGCCCAGCCCCGTCTGGGCTGTGGAAATGGGGGTCATATTTAAGCCTGTCCTAGTTTAGAGTGTCCTGGACAGAAGTTGAGTCAGAGCTCTGGGTAGGTCTCACACCAGCAAATGCAGAACAACAGAAAGAGATGTGGCAGTAATAAAGGGGGAGAGAGAGCTTCTGAGCGAGCGTGAGGAAGAGCAAACTCACACAGGACGATTCACGGGCTCCCAACACATCAGTTCACCTGAGACACCCTCAGACAAACCTGGGGAAGACAGATGTGTCACTGAATCCTTCTTTTGGCAATGGTTAAGATTGAGAGCCTTTACAGGCAGAATCACTCTCTCCAGTGGTATGTCAGACTAGAAAATGATTCCATATGGCTGCCATTGAAGATGTATTGGCAAACTTCTCAACAGAATTGGTTTTAATTTTGGACCTGGAATGCTGGGAAAGTTATGATTAGCAATTACTTAAATTATCGCAGGCTATTTAATTTCCATTAGGCCTTTCCCCTCTTGGCCAAAGATAAATAAATGAAAAACTGTGTTTGTTTTTTATGTTAATCTAGAATATTATCATATTAAATTTATAAATAGGTCTTGCATCTTAGCCAAAGTATTAATTTTTGTTTACCTTAGTCAATCTGCTCCCCAAAAATAAAGGGGGGGGGGCGGGAAATCTTTATAACTGAGAGGAATTTTTACATGAGTTACTGAAAAAACCATACAGCTCTTGAAACTTAAAACTTGATGGAAATTCTGTGCAACAGTGGGGGGAATGGATGGAGAGTCTAGGATGTGTCTCACCAAAAACCATCAACTCCTCACAGATTCCCATTCAATTAGGGTACATGATTTGTTTTAGATCTTTATTTTATCCAATCTCATTTTTTAAATTATTTATTTTAAAAACCTTTATGCTGCCACGGTTTGAAAATCTGCAATCCCAAAACCCCACCCATATCTAAGCAATTGGACTGAACAGTTCCCATGTGCTGGGGATTTCTTAAATAGATCACCTTTCAAATCAAATGTGTAGATGGTCACTATTTTAGGAAATAAACAAACGCTTAAGAAATCAAGCAACATAGTTGCTGAGGTCTTCTTTTTTTATTTCCTTGGGGAGGGGGGCGGAGTGTCTGTCTACCTGTATTCCAGTCTCTGCTGCACATAATCTTCCGCACCCAAGGACGAGAGCAGCTCTTGTTTGGAATCAAGGAAGACCAGCATTTCGTTTGGGGGCACAAGGCCCAGGGCACAGAGCAGTCTGCAGAAGCCAAGTGTGTCTCTCTGCCTAACTGCCCAGGCCAGCCAAGGAGCTGTTCGATGTGCGCCTGCAAGCCCTCCACTGCGTTAGGAGACTGCAGTGGAGGACCAGGACAGGCCCCCTCAAGGCACCAAGCCTGCTCGCTGCGCGCTGCGCTCCTCCGCAAGCGCTCTGCCTTGGTTCCCACGGACCCGACCATGCAGAGCCTTGGCTTTGAGGCGCAGAGGCCGGGCCCTACCATCCAGGTGCGCCCAACTAGGCAAGTTGCAGGTAGCAAGTTATCCCAGGGTGGACTCAAAAAAGGGCGACCGGCCTAGGGACACCGGAGGACCCGAGGGACAGACGCGCGGTCCCCTACTAGCACCGAACCCCAAGCCAGCCCACATCCCGATCCCGGCCGCCTGACACGGGTCGCGGGCACCATAAACCGGGAACCAACCCGCAAACTTTCTTCGGGAGCTTAGGCTCAGAAGTGGCGGCGGGTAGTCATGCAGGGACGCTGTCTTGGGACAAAGGAGCGATTTTGACGAAAAGGGGAGGGCTATTCCCCGTGCCCCCTTGGAGGACTCCCAGGCTGAGACCCGGGTCGTGAGCCTCGGCTTTCCACGAAAGTGGAGGGGCCCCCTCCCCCGGGCGGGAGCCACCGCAGGCCTCGGCCCCGGGGCGGGGTGGGCGCAGCCTTGCCGCAGCCTCCAGTGGCCCGAGGAGGTGTCGGAGGCCCCCACCCCGGACGCGCGGCGCGGGGCAGTGCGGCGGCGGGACCTACCAGCGCGGCCAGGATGCGCCGGCTCTTCTCGTCGGTGCAGCGCTCGGAGAAGACGCCCGGGTGCGCGCGGAGCAGCAGCGCGGCCGCCAGCACCCAGCCCGCGGTCCACGCGGCGAAGGCGAGGAGCGCGCACCGCCCGCACCGCCCGCACCGCGCACACCGCCCGCACCGCGCGCCCGCCGCCCGCGCCATGGCCAGGCTGGCCCGGCCCGCCGCCGCCAGAGCCCCGCGCCCCGCGCTCGCGTCGCAGCTCCGGGACCCGCCGGGCGGGGGGGCCGGGGGAGGGGCAGCGCGGGGAGGAGGGGAGGGCGCGCACCGAGCCCCGCGGGCGGGTCCGCTCGCAGCTCCCGGGGGACGCGCCAGGCGCCCCGCTCCACTCGGCCCCCGCCCGCAGCCACGTCCCACTTTCCCCAGAAGACCGGCCCCTCACTCAAACGGAATCCGCGTGGATTCGCCCCCGACCGCCAGCTCCGCTGCCTACGCCCCAGCTCTGAGCCGCAGGACCGTCCGGGTCCCACCTGGACCCCTGGCTCCCCGGTGGGCTGCTGTTCTTTTCGACCCCCTCCCTCTCCACGGACTCCGACCTCAACTTGGGCTTCCTCCGGGCTCTCCCTCCGGGTATAGTTGGGGGTCGGGACCGTCAGGGAACGTCTGGGACAACCTGGTGCGCCTTTCCCACCCGCCCAGGATCGAACAGCCGCTGCCCACCCAGGCAACCCAGGGCTCCGGGGCGTCTTTCTCCGTGTAAAGAGGACACACTGATTTCCGCTTAGGGGGCGAAGAGAAAGTGCTCAGCAATCGTGCCTACATCTGCATGTTTGTAAAATCTGGAGGAGCATGCTTCCATGTTCAAATCCCAGTCCTTACTTAAGCAGGGGGGCGTCGGGGCTCCGTCCTTTTCCCTACACACACACACACACACACACACGGAGCGGGGTGCTTCTCCTGCTCCCCAGACCTTTCTCCAGTAAAAAGCGAGTCCGCTGTGGGTGGCACTCACCCCTGGCACTGTCACAGCTGAAGGTCCCGGAAAGCAGCCGCCCCTCTGGCCCAAGCATTCACTGAACCAAAGCCTATTCAGCGCTGGTTATGTGCCAGCCCCGTCCCTATGAGCCTTCCTCCTTCCCTGTGCCCGAATTTCTCAGAATACATTCCGAGCTTAGACATAATAGAATTGCACAAACCCAGATCTCGAGTTCTGTAATTGCCTCAGGAACAGGCTTTCCAACCTAGTCTATTCTGCAGCTGGTGGTTTAACTTCTCCTTATGGCTGGCTCCGTGGTACAAGTCCCCAGGAACTGGGAAATATCAAGTCAACAAATGCTTGGATCTAAGGAACACTTAGAGTACACCACAAATAAGTATTTCCTTAATGGGACAGCCCCTGGGGATGTGGGTACCACTCAATCACTTCAGTCCTGTGAGACTGGTTCTCTGGCCTCTGTCCATCTCTAAGACACACCCAACCAGAAGCACCAGGAGTTTCCTAGCTGAAAACTTTCTTCTCCTACAGTTGCAGGACTCAGAAAGCATCACAGGGTGCTTCAGCATCTGGGATAGCAGTGTGCAGTGGCTGCCCTCTTCCAGATTTCATTTGGTGTGGGAGGAAGGAATAGGAAGGAGACTGAGATGAAGAAGTGTGACCACTTGTTCTTTAAAATCTAGGAATAAGCCAGGAGTAGTGGCGCTGCTTGTAATTCCAGCAATTTGGGAGGCTAAAGCAAGAAGATCGCAAGTTCAAAACCAGCCTCAGCAACTTAGTGAGAACCTGTCTCAAAAAAATAGCAAGGACTGATGATGTAGCTCAGTGGTAATGTGCTCCTTGGTTCAATCCCCAGTTTAAAAAAAAAAAAAAATCTAGGAATAAAAATCACAAAGATAAAAATCATTGAAAGGAAAAGTAGAACTTGAAATAAAGATTAACATTAAGGTTTACAAGCTAAAGTTTACTTTTGTGGGTTGTATAATGTTAGTAATACATTTCTTTGGGTATTTAATAAGGAAAAGTATACAGAAAAGAAAATTGAAACCCCATGATGAAGAGATCCTTTTAACAGGCAGCATTGTTTCAATACAGCAATTAGGGTACTCTCTAGAGCCAAAATAAGATCCTAAGGGACCCCAGCAGGACTGTCATCCTGTTGTGCCCTTTGTGCACTGCAGTCAGATAGGGCTGAAGTCCATCAGAAGTCAGTCAGTTCACTAACTCCTTTTTCTGGGAACTAAAAAGGGACACTTTATCAGAAGAGACACTTTTTAAATTGCCTGTTCAAAAGGGACTTATTATTATTATTATTATTATTATTCACAAGAAGATGCCTTATAGGCTAGCTTTACTTGGTACAAAAGATGATCCCCTAGAGCAATAACAAATAAATGAATAAATTATTACATTGACAATGAAATTGCAAACTTCTGCTGAATAAATGAGAAATGAGCTTAGTCTCATTTCCCAGGAGTCCTGCTTCAGGCTGCCATGGGTACCACCCGCCAGTTCTGTGTGATTTCGGATGACTGGCAGGCTAAGTGGGGCTAGGGGCATGGCAGCTGCACTCAGGATAAGGGTGCGCCTGAGCAGGGGAGTAGTTTGCTCCAGTACCAGTTCACGTCATCTTGACTTGAATAGGGTTTGACTCCTTAAAAAAAAAAAAACTATGAAATTCAAGAACCACTACTCCCTTTCCCAAAACTATGAACTCACAGTCATATTAGATACTGAGTTCAGTGACCCCTCCAGTCCTATCAAACTGCATTCAGACAGAAATTCATGGTGCAGTTTTCCTTTGCCTTGAAGGAAATGTAAACTTAGCTCTGTATAAGCAGAGGAGAGGCTCCCCAAGATTCCAGAGTCCGGGACCCAGGACCCATGCCTGAGTCTCATTGAAATGAACACATCATGTGTCTAGAGGTGGTTTTGACAATGAAGCCTCTCTACCACCACCTTTGCACTGTCTTCTATTGGACTAGAGGAGGCCTGAGGCTTGGGCCTTGAAGGCCTGGTATCTAATGTGTGCCTGATGTGGAATAGGCCCTTAAAAGTCTGCTGAATAAATGAGTGGGATATGGTTGCAAGCATTTCCTCTGAATAATCAGAAAACTTTGAACACCCCATGGAATTTTTCTCAAGAGAGTGCTTTTAACACATAAATATTTCTTTCTGATTCTTGAGGCTAAGTTGAGCAGTGCAGACACATCACAGGGATGGGAATATGTTTGAACATATCCTCTGGGTTCTGACCTCCTCTATCGAGAGCTGAACTTGTCACTGAGAGCAGAATATGAATGTTTGGTTTGCAGGCCATTACTGGAAGAAAAAGTAACGTTCCATAGTTTCCTAGACAAATAGGGTTATTAGTGTTCATTCTGCTAAATTTCTACATAAACATATTTATTCTTGAAAGGACTTTGGCAACAAGAACTAATTTTTATGACTGTACAGTACTTTATATATTCACATTGATTAGATCATAAACTTCGGCCAGCGACCCAACAGTGTAGATGTGCAAATGTTGTTAACTCATGTTCTGTAGAGAAGGGCGCTGGCCTTGTTTATATGGTGGGAGTGACATGGCCAGAGTTCACCAGCTTCTTGGCTGGACATTCTGATCACTGTATTGACATTAAATTGCCCACTCCAGAAGCAGACATGGAATATGCTCTCTGCCGTCACACCTGCTCACTGAGGTAGCTTGCCTGGGGCTAAGAAACCTTGCAAGGCTTACCGGCATTATGAAATGTTTCCAGCCTTGGATGGAACAAGATTTTAACTCGAGCTCAGTTTTGCTACAGCTTCGTTTGCCCATTGCAGCTTCACATTCCCCAACCACAGGATGGAGGAGCCCTTTGGGGCAGGCAGTGGGGCAGTTCTGGTCACCTACAGGGCTGAGGAGGGCCAAGTCAGAAGCACCTAAGGCCAGCCAGCAATTTCTCCTTAGATGCTGTCCCGGCTTTAAGAAAGTCCTCTTCAGGGCATTACTGCACCAAGTACTTTGCTTTCAGTGAGATCAGGCTGGTTTTTGAGGTGAGAGTTTGATAGGACGGGAGGTGTCTGGAGAATGCCTGGTGGGGGACTCAGGCGGTAAACCCCGGAGTTCTTTACAGGGAAGACCTGGAGGTGAGGGAAGAGGTGGGGACGTGGGAGAGGAGAAGGTGGCCAGGGGTGACTCCACCTTATAGAGCAGGAGTTTGCCGCAAGCTCCTCCATTCTAAGAGCTGAGGTGGAAAGGCTCTACACCTAGTCTGTGCAGGTAAACAATCACCATCTGCCTGGCACCAAGTAATCGTGCTAATAAAAATGACCGCCTGTGAACTTACGGATTCAGCAAAAGTCCACGGATGCATGAATATACTAAACTCAAATCAGAAAAACCAGACCCATGAGCTTATCCAAAACACCAGACACTGAATGAGGGAACCTTGTCACCGAGGCCCAGAAAATGAGGAGCACCCCAGGACTGGGCTTGGGGTCCCAGACTCAGTTACCGGGTATCTCATCAAGACTTGCCCAGGAAAATCACCACAGTGACATACTTCCAAATGTGCCCTCAGGCGTCTCCTATCTGTGAGAACCATGGGTGACCCACTCCAAGCTGATGCTCTGAAGCTGCTGACCATCTAGACCCTAGCCTAGAGCAAATTCCTGCACTTTGACAGCTCTGCACCCTGAGCAAGATCGGTTTGTAATCTTACCTGACCCCCCAAGGTGACTCTGCATTCCCACCTGCTCCAAGCCTTCGCTTTCAGTTCAGCCTCCTGGACCCTGTGCTTTCAGAGTCTTTCTGTAATACACACACACACACACACACATACACACACACGTATACACACACACACACACACACATATATGCACATGTGTGTGTGAGGTGTGATGTGTGGCTTGAGTGTTATAAATATTGGAACTTAAGACTGGAATAAAAGAACTTGTGTTTGCTTATGAGTCTCGGGTGACCCACAGGACTAAGCAGACTGCCATGCTGACAGTGGTGTGCTTCTGACACTGGGAAAGACCCAGTGCTTTGAGCCTGTTGCTGGCATGGCTTGCTCACCACAAGGAGCCCAAAGCTACCTGTGCTGTATCAGGCTCGCTACCCATCAGCATGGGTTAGGGATCTTTATAATGGGGCAGAGAAGAGCAGCAGCACGCTAAGTACCTAGCACAGTAGGGACTGGGTAGCTCACCCTTACTCACCT